CTTTTTAAAAAACAAAAACAAAAAATGAAAAGGATATCCATATGGAATAATTTATAACTGGATTCCACGTGGAATCCAAAGGCATTCTTGCTAATAAAAGAATATGCAGCTAGAGAACTTTGCTTGTAGCATAATAGCCTTTAATTTATCATAATTATTGAATTAAAAAATTTGAAGTGAGATATAACAGAGAAATGTGACAAGACAAAATATCTCCAGGTATATTGGCAATCCTGGGCACCATATTGTCTCCCGCTGGCATGGGATTCTTATTGATTGACTTTGGACACCTATTTTCAAGAACTCTTAGTCTAAAGTATAGTAACTGATAATATAGAGTTAAATTGGATTTTAACTTTTGAATAAAAAATATTTTTATTAAAAAAAAATTGGACTGCCATAAGTGGTAGTAGATAATCCAATTTGCCAGACATAGTAGACCACTACATATATCTTGGCCAACAAATCTCAATGGAAGGTAATACAATAAAGGAAACTGAGTTGCATGTTAAATGTGGTTGGCAGACGTTTGGCAAGCTAAGCATAATTTTCAAAAACAACCACCCCTGTGCCTGAAGAGAAAAGTTTTCAGTCAATGTGTGCTACCTGCTCACTCAAACATATGCCGGTGAAACATGGACACTAACCTCACAATCAATAGAAAAGCTACGAGTAGCGCAAAGAGCCATGGAAAGATACACGCTCGGCGTTACAAGACAAGATAGAAAGACCTGTACATGGATTAGAGCAGGGGTCCCCAACCCCCAGTCCATGGACTAGTACCGGTCCATGGCATGCCAGCAACCGGTTTGCACAAACAAGCAAAGCCCCATTCGTGGAATGTAGGCAGCACACAAAACCACACACTCCTTTCACCGCGGAACTGGTCCCTGGTGCCCAAAAGGTTGGGGACCTCTGGATTAGAGAACAAACAAATGTATACAATATCATCAAGAGAGTAAAAGAATTGAAATGGAAACAGGCTGGTCACATAGCAAGAAGAACTGATGGCAGGTAGACCAAGGCAGTCATAGAATGGATCCCACCTGATTAAAAAATGTCCATGAAAGACACCTGAAACAAGATGGATTGATGATATCAGCAAGAATTGCAGGCCCAATTGGCAAAAGAAAGCCCAGAACCGTATAGGTTGGAAGCAGAAGAGGCCTTTATTCTGCAATGAATAGACAATGGCTAGAATGATGATGAATCCAATTTGCTAATCAGGTTTGTCTGGCAATTATAAAAAGGCTATAATTTATATCTCTAAGCTTGGTTGTAAAGTAGCATGTGGCTCACCATGAAGTAAGTCATTTCTGTACCTATGAATATGATGCAGACATGTTTGCTGTGTAAGCAATTCCTGCAAGAGTTTTCTGCAAAGATAAGAATATTTCAAAGTATCTGTTCAATGAGCAAATAATATTTATGGCTTCTGCAGATATATTAAGAGGGTGTTGTTGTTGTTTTAGTATCGATCCCTGTGGGGCATGGTACTTTTGTTGATCAGCATCCAGGCTACCTAAAATGCAGTGCAACCTGAATTAGTAGATTCTTTTTCCTAAGACTTAAAGATATTGGAATAACCAAAGTATGCATTCTTTTAAAGAAATTAATCTATATAAGTATTTCTGATTTCTAGCGCTTATTTATTTATCTTGTGCCTCAGAGAAACAGGGCTCCCTGTTTAATTTATATACAATCCTAATTGCAAGATAGCTTTGTAGTCTGAAGGCATGAAGCAAAAGAAGAAGAAAAAAGAGATGCTAAGGGATGCAGAAAAATGAGCTTAGGTACTTGTAATAAGAAAAGAGTGGTTACAAATTTTCCTTAGGAGACGAAGAATCTGGTACAGCTAGTTCTTTTAGCAGAGATAATAGAATAACGCTGGTTCCTATCTAATCTTCTCCTGCTATAGTTCCTATCTTATCAACAGTATCTACTCTCAAAATCTCAGTAACTGCTAAAATCTCCAAAATACAGGATCCTAAAATGATATATTACCATTATGATCAAAGGGTGGAAAATTAAAATTATAGATTGATATTTCTTAACTGTATTCCATTCTAAGGTCAGCCTGTTAGTTTTTCTGAAGACTGCTTTTTATTTACAGTCCATTCCAATTAGTCATGAGCTCTGTAGGAGACAATACACAAGGATCACAGTATACACAGTATACCCACCCACCCACTCATATACCTTTGAAGTGATTGTGTTCATCATCCTCTTGCAGGTGCAATATTGCTTCAGTAAATACATTTAGCCAAAGCCAAAATAGGATTTATGGGCTTCATTTGATTTCCAGTTCTGGCTTGGCTCTGACCTCTTTACTTTTTCTTTTTCTTTTTTTGTCTTCTACTTAGGCAGATGTGAAGAGCAAAAGTGCTTTATTTGCTTAGAACAAGAGAAATATGTTATCACATTGGAATGGTACCTTCAGTGTAATTTGTTTATCCTAGCTGCCCCAAATGTATTATGTTTTTTATGACTCATAGTTGTAGCACAAATGGTCTGATCGGTAGTTTATTTCTCTGATAACATTTTTAAAACCTGAAATGTATATCTAATGAAACGGCTTTTACAAGCCGGAAATTAGGAGGTTATTCTGTGCACTGAATTTGAATAGGAAAAACAAAGGGCAGATCTATACCCTGCTTGCTCCACTATCAGTACTGGCCATCCATTTTTGTATGTGTGCAGGAACAGATGATGTCACCCTCCATCCACTTATAGTCAATCACAAATGCACCCATCACCCTTGTATTAAAATGCTGGTTCAGAACTGCTCTTGCCATCCTAAGCCTTCTTCAGCCCTTCCGGGGGTTTGCTTTAGAGTACTTCTTTCTGATCTAGTGACCATCCTAGGTCCAGTTGGCTAGAAGGCCTGGCACATCCCCACCCTTCCAGCAGCTCCTATGTTCTCTACTGGTCAACAACAGCCATTTTTAAAATTATGTTGTGGTTGATCCAATAATGATCTATTAAGTAATTTGTCCTCACTCTCCATTTTCCCTCCCCTTAGAAGTTAACCCTCCAATCAACCCTGATATCTCCCAGTGAGATGTTTTTGGTTGCTACCAAACTAAGCATGCACTTCTTGCTTTCCTACCTCTTCATAGTACTGCAAAGGGGACATAATTGCTCAGCGGTTAAAGACACTGAGCTTGTCAGCTGGAAAGCTGACAGCCCGTGTTCATGACCCAAGCACTGCACAAGTTTGAAAGCATGCAAATGCAAGTAGATAAATAGGTACCACTTCAATGGGAAGATAACAGTGCTTCATGTACCTCAGCATATAGTCATGACCATGGAAGTGTCTTCAGACAAGGCTGACTCCCTCAGCTAAGAAATGAAGATGAGCATTACCTTCTAGTTGGGCATGACTGGACAAAGAAAGCATTTACCTTTATAGTACTGCAAAGCTTCACTTCCCACTCGCCCCCATTCCTTTTTTAAAAACTTGAGGATGCAACATAGAATCATTGGAATTAATCTACAAGTTTCAGGGAATATGCAACACTGGCCCTATGAAACTGCATCTATCTATAAATCCAGATGGCGGGAGTCTCAGGTCAAACTGTAAGCTGAGGGCATATACTGGTCCAGTATCTGATTTTTTTTTTATATGAACAATGCTGTGCTTCAGTGGTTAGATTGCCATTGGCATTTGAACACAGATCTTTTTAACATTGATATTTTATTGTGTTTTATTAATCTAGGTGAAATGTTAATATTGCTAGTCCATGTATGATATGCCATACTCAAAATAAATAAATCCAGATGGTCCAGAATCTATTAGATTTTTGTAAAGAGCCGGTTGATCCCCTGCCCAGGCCTTTTGGTAGAAGGTTAAGTCAAATCTATTGGTTGATTTGTTTGGTTCCAGTCCAATGTTAGAAGTGTCATGTTCTTAGATCTCACATGTAGATTTATGTTTATTTGTTGCTTCTAGTTATTATTTGTTTTATGTAAGGTATTTTTGATTAAGTTTTAATCCTTTAGTATATTTAGAGACACTGTATTGTGAGATGGGCATCTATATACATTATTAAAATGAGACACAATAAAACAATAAATATTCTTAATTCCCTGCAGACTATATTATGCATGAGTCCAAGCACAATAGATTCTATGTATTTGACTAGCTGTTACCTGAGGTAATTGTTTCCAGCCAACAATACTACAAAGATTAAAAAAACAGATTTTCTAGTTATATCCTTGTCATAAATAATTTGCAATAATGTGTAAGCATTAGATGATTTTTCCCCCTGTACTTGTTAGCATATGTTTGCCAAAATGACAGGGTGAATACATATATAGAAGAGAGTAAGCTTTATTTCTAAGGCATTCACAGCTTATCTGGATAACTTTTTATAAATATGTGGCATCAGCTTGCACAGAAGAAGGATTAGATCCAAAGAGTGGCATTCTTAGAATTAGACTTGCTGAAATCACTGGGGCCCCTGTCTGAATTAAGGGTCTGCTGATGTAAAGGGATCTCCTCTAAGAATCTGTCAGCTTTACAAGATAGATCAGGTCTGGAAAGCAACTCAACAGGAAGACTAATACTTATTCTATTGAGATAGACGATACTAATAGAATTTTGCAACACTGATTGTGCTTTTGTTTCCCTCCCTCTTACACTATGGTGAGTTAGGACGAGTCATTCTGAATCTTTTCTATCTGTTTTCCCAGGATTTAAGGTATGCTTCTGTATTTTTTGTTTACATAACAGTTTCTGAATATCTCTTCCAAGGCCATCTTCCTAGCTTTCTACAGTAACGCAGAAAAAAAAAAGACAAATCATGTTCATATCACGAGCAAGAAAAACACATGGATATATTTATGCAGTCACAGCAAGACTCAAGACTGACTCCAAAGAGTCTTTCACCTTTTTTCTTTGAGACTAGAACCTGCATTACATACATACTTGATTGATAAGTCTAAACAGAAATAAATAGCTGTCTTCATTTAGTCTGCGATGCTTTTGTTTTCTTTAGATGGCTTCGGTAACAGATGCCAGATATGGACCCAAGGATGTTTCAGACCAGAACTTTGATTATATGTTCAAGCTTCTGATCATTGGCAACAGTAGTGTGGGCAAGACTTCCTTCCTTTTCAGATACGCTGATGACACTTTCACACCTGCCTTTGTCAGTACAGTGGGAATTGACTTCAAAGTGAAGACTGTTTACAGGAATGACAAGAGGGTAAAACTGCAGATTTGGGTAAGTACCCATGATTCTCAAACTTTTTACTCTGGGCACAGATATAGAGGGATCAGGATAATTTCCAGATTATTCCTTGATTGTGGGAAATAAGGCTTACTTGCTTGTCTTTTATTTCATTTCAGCAGAAGGCTGAAGCTACATTCATTGCTTGTTATTGCAGAAGATGGGCAACCTTTAAATATCAAGGAATTGCATTTAACATTTCTTTGGGCATCTGGATGCTACAGTGAACAATAGATGAGTCTAGGATTTTCTTGGTTAATTTTCCTTTTAGGTTTTTGGAAGGAGCTATATGAATTCTATATTCTTCAGTGCTTTATTGTAAGCAGATGCATTTGGTATTTCTTTCTGGATATTTCCTCATTCTTTATCTGGATAAAGCTGTGTGCTTTACTTATCTCCTTGTACATTGCATTTAGAGAATGATATCATTACATTGTAAAATAGTAAAGGCCCTATCCCAAGTGTGTTTTTTTCAAAAGGCAACTGGACTTCCTTGAAGACATTTCGCTTCTCATCCAAGATGTTTCTTCAGTTCTGGAACTGAAGAATTGAAGAAGCTTCTTGGATGAGAAGCAAAACCCCTTCAAGGAAAATAAATTCCAATTGCCTTTTGAAAAAATCACTTTTGGGACAAGACCTGGATGACTGAGAATTTTCATAGACAATGAAGGCACTGGTTACCTTTCCCTGGGATTCTTCTTGTCTACTAACTGACTGTAGTATTGTGGCTGAGCACACACAATGAAAGGTTGGAGATCTCCAAGTTCCTCTCCTAGAAACCTTTTGAGTCTCTTCACCATAGCTCTGTCTTCTGCCAGGCTGTGATATTTTGGAAGTTCTCCATCTGTTTGTCAGAGAGATGCCATTATCTGCCATTACCTTAACTTTGCATGTGAAAGAGACAGGGGTCACCTGACCTGCCTTACTGGCAAATAAAGGGAGGAAATGATAGAAAATATGTTCTATAGGGCCTTTCCTACAAAACGATCAGTGTACACACAGTAACATTGGGCTGCTGGAATCACAGATTTCTTAGAAGAAAATGTACAAGACAATATGAAATTCTGAGCAGATGTTGATTTGCACTTGTTTACAAATAACCTTGAGGTGCCAATACGCAAAGAGGGCATATAAATATTAGTAAATAGATGAATAAAATGCAGCACATAAAGTATACAAGATCTAAATTGGTAGAAACAATGATCATCAAAGGCACAAATGTAGAGGAAAAGAAATTAAACTTAATGCCACTCTTAGCAAACATTCTCCTGTTTTTCTAAAAAGTAGAAGACTCTTAGAACAGATATTATATGTCTGCCAATTTATTACATGGTTAAACTCTTTTCCCTACAAATTCCAACGTTAATCTGAGAAAGGAGGGGAATCTTAGCTGTGTCCCACTTCCCACTTCAGCACAAAGCTTCTTTCTCCTTTTCTCCAAAAGGTTTGCCGAGGGTTTTGAGTCACCTGTCTTTATATGTGTGACTCAGAACATACAACTTTCTATATTCATATGTCTGTGGAGATTCTCAGTCATCCAGGTCATAGTTGTCTCAAAGATGCTTTTTCAAAAGGCAATTGGATTTTTTTTTTCTTGTGGAAGAAGAAAAAAACTGCCAGTACCTATCCATCCCCCACATCACAACTATTGAAGCTTCTTGGATGAGAAGCGAAAAATTTTCTTCTTCTTTCTCAAGAAAAAAAACAGTCCAGTTGCCTTTTGAAAAAGCACCTTTGGGTTTCCATGTACAGATTTATAGCCCTTGTGTGAAGTGAATGAATGTAGACTGGGGATGTCTAAGCCTACCTAGCAAGAAAAATTGGCAAACAGGCTTCAGTTTGTGAAAGCGTGCTTTACTATTCACAACACACAAACAGCCTCCACACACTGGCTGTGTTGCAAAATAGGCTTCTGTAAATCTCAGCGAAATGTCATTATGTTATAATCCCTCATCAAGGAGCCATAGAATGCAGTATTACAGGCTAACTCTGCCCACAGCCAGAAGTTCGATCCTGACCAACTCAAGGTTGACTCAGCCTTCCATCCTTCCAAGGTCAGTAAAATGAGGACCCAGATTGTTGGGGACAATATGCTGACATTGTAAACCGCTTAGAGAGGGCTGTAAAAGCATTGTGAATCAGTATATAAGTCTAAGCACTATTGCTATCATCACTCTGTGTAGCTCCTTAACTGAATCTTGTATTATAGATGTGAAATACCTATCATCCTAGAAATCTACAAACCACCCCCAGTTTTGTAAGCATTTACAAATTGCAACACAATACTATCCCCTATACTTCAATACTTATATTGCAAATACCTAGTGAATTTGTACATGGATGAGAATGGAGATTTGAAACCTATGGGATGTATTTGAGTGTTTAGAAAACAACTTTTATTCATATTCTAGAGCAGGGGTAGGCAACCTTGGCTCTTTTATGACTCGTGGACTTCAACTCTTAGAATTCCTGAGCCAATAGGAATTCTGGGAATTGAAGTCCACCAGTCATAAAAGAGCCAAGGTTGCCTACCCCTGTTCTAGAGCAATGAATTTCTCTGTTTTACCATTGGCCTTCCTAGGAAGTGGTGTTTTGGGGACTGGCCATGTCCATTGTAATACACATTTTGTTACAACACCTAAGACACATGGTAAGTAATATTAAGTAGCTGTTTAAACAATAACATTTTGATGGATTTCTCTTTTCCCAGGAAAGGAATTGACAATATTTGTCAATTCTGGAAACTGCACACTTTCCCATCTGGAAGTGTTGCTTTTTCTATCCCATTCTGCTTGTTTTAGTAGGAAAATAAAGCCTAACTAGATTTTTGGGGAGATGCTGAAAAATCTGTAGTTTTAAGCTATACTCATTACAAAAATATTCAATAAACCACAGTAGGCTTCTAAAGGATATTAATAGTTTTGATGAATGGTACACTTCCACAGAAGGAGTGCACAGCTGCAAGTAGAAATCATAACATCCTACTATTTTTGTGAGCATAATTTAAGCAAATTGAAACTTGACAACCACTAATTATATTCAATGACTCTTTCATTTTTCCCTTTTTTATCATTTTGGCTGCAGCTTGCCTAGATATAAAATCTGTTAGCATTTTTCAAAATACATTTCTATTACTGGCATGAGGGACATCAAATTATGCAATGCATGACAGCTAAATGCTATACGTTTACCTCTTTGAATGAACCAAAAAAAATCTACAGTCGTAGTGCTATAATTCTACACACATTTTTTGTGGCATAAGGTTAGAAATACATAATTGTCCAAAAAAAGCACTAATTACATATTTTTCAGGAAATATTCATCACTTCTCAGACAGTTACATTGTAGGTGTGAAGTATTATTTATGGGAAGCTATTCTCAAAGTGATTTTTTTCTGACAATTCATTTTCAACAGGGATGAACAACTGTTGAATTTGGTATATGAAAATGTAGCAATACATACAGGTTGTTTTTTCTAAGATTTTGTATATACAACCTGACTCCAGATTGATTTTTTTTTTCTTTTCTAAATAATTTTCCTACTGGAGGTTGGCTCCTGCTGTATCTATTTGCCCTTTAAAGTTTTCTTGCTGCAAATAATTGTAGAATCGTTGCTACCAACTGCTTTTTAAATGAAAGTATTGAAGCACTCTACCATGATTGAAAACAAAACAGTGACGCTCATCTTGATCATATGATGCCTTGTTGCTAGGTAATCAGGACCTTTCTCAAAAGCTAATGCAGAATCAGAAAAGTCACAGGAAATACATATTTATCTTGGCTTCTTTTTATTAATTTCACCAACATTTGGTTAAACAAACTAATGGTGCTGATTGGAGTTCCGTCTATGTATTTTTCAACTATGTCAAGGATTTTTTAGCAGTCATCTGATCAACATCTGTCCATAAATGGGCGACATGTATTGTGAGTTTCACATCACTTTAAGTAAGGAGATGATCTAAAGGCCTCTTCTCCAAGGACAGGGCAAGTGTCTTGTTTCAAACTTGATGAACTCAAAGAGGAAGATACTTTAACATACACTTTCCTGCCAAACAGTATGTTCTTTACAGGTACAGCTAGCAGCTATCACAATTACTCACTCCCCACAGCCCAGTGTGATATCAAGGGCTGAACTTGTCACGCTTTCTCTCTCTCTTTCCCCCATAGAGAGCTGCTCTGAAATTTGCCTGTTTTTGTTTCAGTTTCTTAAACTATGTTGCTTTCCTATCAGATGAATTGTCTCTAGGTGACAGGCATTCAGAATTGCAAAATAAATTTGGCCCGTGGAAAACTGTTATGCGTATATGCCTTTTCACTATAAATAAACATCAAAGACAAAGCATAGTGAAAAACATGTTATCTTTTCTTGGATCATTAAAAAAAAGTGGGGCCTTAAGCCCAAGAAAAGGTCAGCAATTTTAACAAAGAAGAAATAAAATATTGAATAATAAAGGTCAGGATTATTACTGTCAAAGAAATAAATTGATTAATTAATGGCCAAAGAAAAGATTACATGTAAAGTATTGCAATAGTCAAATGCTTAGTGTTCCATTTAAATGAAAGTAGTCAATCTTTTGGTGATTTATGTTTATATTTTTTTAAGGTCAGTAAAGAAACAGCAGGCACTTTCATTTTTTCTTTCAACTAAGCAGATTTCTAAGCCACCTGATTGAACAGATGCTTGGTAATGGCATCTGGAGATGAGTAAAACAGGCATTAATATTGCATATACAAAGGGTAGGACTTCAACTCTGGTGCTATAGCCAGGATCTTGCTGCCCATGGACACCACTGCCAAGTTTATAACTATGAAGTAAGGTGGAATATATACAAAGGGCACCAGATTAGAAAAGGCAGCAGCTGTAGGTGTACATTAGTTCTCATAAATAATTACAAAGGACTGCTGTCCATATTCCCAATAGAGAGGGAGTGCATTCCAGAGAAACAAGAGACAACACAGTTCAGCAAGCTTATGCGAGAAAAAGTGGGTGAAGA